CTTTGTTCTTGAAGTTGTATTTCTGTTGTTGCATGGGTTACTGGTGGAGACATTACAGTATTTTGTGAGCCTGTAGTGCTGTTAAGGTTGTTGCGTTTGGGTTGAGTACGAGTGGGTTGTGTTTGTGATAACGTGGTGTGTTTCTGAGAAGCAAGAGTATTGTGTTTTTTAGCTGTGCTAGGCCGTGTGGGTGAGGGCGTCTTTGTAGTGCGTGTTGCGTTACTTGTATTTATTGCGTTTGTTTGTTCAGGAAGTTGTGTTTGTGTGGTTGGTTGAGTTAAGTTTGGAAATATTACAGTATGTTGTGTGTCATGTTGTGAGTCTAAAGTGCTGTTTAGGCTTTTGCGTTTGGGTTGAATACTAATGGGTGGTGATAATGTGGTTTGCTTCAGAGGTGAATCTCTGATTGTAGTATATGTTGTATCATTTGTTGTACTTGTTTGTTCGGTAAGTTGTATTTGTGTGTTTGTTTGGGTTAGAGGTGGAGATATTACAGTATGTTGTGTACCGTGTTGTGAGCGAGTACTGTTGTTTACATGTATACGTTGTGGATCATTTCTGTATGTAGTATCTTGTGTTATGTTTAGAAATTTACGAACAATATGGCATGTGTTGATAATGACTGCTTTTTGTAAATGTTTGTATGTGTTTTTGTCTAAACCTAATAGTTGTAAATTGTGGTGTATTGTCTTTGGTATAACTCCAGTAGCACTAAGAATAATGGGAACTATAACAGTAGATTTCATTCTCCATTGCGTCTTAAGCTCGATAGCTATATCGGTGTATTTGCGGTGTTTTTCTGCATGTGTTTTAGTTAAGTTGTTAGTGTTGGGGATGGCAATGTCTATAATACAAATGGATTTTTGTGTTTTATCTATAAGTGTAATGTCTGGTCTATTATTGTGGATAGTTTTGTCTGTGAGTAGTGTCCTGTCCCAATATAATTTGTGTGTGTTGTTTTCAAGTATGATCTGTGGCGTGTATTTGTAGTATGGTGTCGTATCTGTTATGAGATTGTGTTTAAGTGCTAATTTTTGATGTATGATTTTAGCTACCTGATCATGTCGATGTTTGTATTCAGTTTGTGCAAGTCGTGTGCATGCCGATATTATATGTTGGATTGTTTCTGATGTTTGTGAACAAAGTCGACAAGAATCATTTGTCACTGTTTTATCTTTATGTATGTGTTTTTTATAGTTGCGTGTGTTAATGACCTGGTCTTGTATTGCTAACATGAAACCCTCAGTCTCCGGGAAGACATCACATTCAGACAACCAACTGTGCGTTGCTATAGAGTCAACACAATCCTGGCCAACCTCTTGTGGAAATCGTCCATGTAAAGGCTTTTGGTTCCATGTCTGTATGTTATTTGTGATGTATGTAAGTTTGGATGTGGGTGGGAGTACATTAGTTTCGTGTAGGTTAAGTGGTGTGTAAGATTTGTCTGCATATGTTACTGTTTTGTGTAAGACTGAAGTATCTGATTTGTTATAAAAGTATTGTCGCAAATTGTGTATTTGTGTTTGGTGCAATAGTTTTATATCTGTAAGTCCTCTACCTCCTTCCGAACGAGGAAGGTAAAGTCGTATAGTGGAGGAGTGAGGGTGATGTATATGGTGTTTTGTTAATAGTGTACGTGTGTTTCTCTGTATTTGTTCTAAATCTGTATTTGTCCAACGTATAATCCCGAAAGAGTATGTAAGCACTGGTATGGCATAAGTGTTAATAGCTTTGATTGTATTTCTACCGTGTAATTTTGTTTTAAGTATACTGCGTACTCTTTGTAGGTATTGTGTGATAAGTGTTTGTTTTATACTCGTATGTTTAATGTGTGTGTTTTGCTGAAAACCAAGATACTTATAAGTTTCATTCTCGTCCATGGAATTTATTAAATTACCCTGTTCTAGCTCATAATCTAAAAGTTGTCTTTTACCAGCTGTGATGTGTTGTGTTTTACATTTATCAATTCCAAAGTCCATTTGTATGTCACGTGAGAATGTTTCGGTAATGTGTAGAAGGTGATTAAGTTTTATGCTTGTGGAAGAGTATAATTTAAGATCGTCCATGTAAAACAGGTGTGTAATGTTGTGATGTATTTCGTGGTTGTGCTTAATATTGTACCCAAAGTTAGTAGTGTTTAACAAATATGAAAGTGGATTAAGAGCAAGACAAAACCAAAGCGGACTTAAAGAATCGCCTTGAAAGATGCCTCTTTTAATTTGTATTGGGTCAGTAATAAGTTTTGTGTCGTTTAGTGTAAGTGTTAACGTAGTGTTCCAACATGACATTATGTAATTGAGGAATTGTGTAATATTGTTGCTGACTTTGTATATTGAGAGTACTTGTTGTAACCAAGAGTGTGGTACTGAATCGAATGCTTTTTTGTAATCAATGTATGCAGTGTGTATGTTTCGTTTGTTATGTCTGGATTGTTCAAGTATTACAGAATCTATAATGAGTTGCTCTTTACAGCCTCTGGAACACTTGGTACACCCTTTTTGTTCTTCGTATAAAATGTTGTTATCAGTACAGTGTTGGTATATTTTGTTTGTAATGCATGATGTAAGGATTTTGTATATTGTAGGAAGGCATGTAATTGGTCTATATTTAGATGGGTCTTGTGTATTGTTGTCTTTTGGGAGCATGTAAGTGATACCTTGTGTAAAGAATGCAGGAGTGCGATCTGGTGAGTTAAGAAGTTCAGTAAATTGTTGTGCAAGGTAAGAGTGAGTGTAGGTAAAATATTTCCACCAAAAGTTGTGAATGTTATCAATGCCTGGACTTTTCCAGTTATGTAAGTGATTAATAGTTTGAATGATGTCTGTTGTAGTGATGTTTGTGTTATTCATAGGAGTAATGTATTCAGTGCGTGTGGTTTCTGTGGTAATCCACGGGGCGTGTGGATTGTGTTTAATGTCTTTGGTCCATAAGTCAAACCAGTATTGCTGAAGTGAGTGTAGAGATGGTGGAATGAGTTTTTCATTAGTGCTGTTTTGTGTTAGTGATCTGTAAAATAGTTTTTCGTTATGTTTAAATTGTGTGTTATGGCGCTTTCTGTCTGCAGTTTCCCTATAGCGTTTTAAACGGTTTGTGTATATTGATAGTTTTTGTGTGAGTGTATCTCTATGTTCGTTATAGCTTGTATTTTGTTCTCGTGTGGTGTGATTGTTTAGTTTTGTAGTTATGTGTTGTACTTGTCGTGTTAATTTTGAAGAACGAGTTCCTTGTATGTATTGTGTAATTCGACCCAAGTCACGTCTGATGTCATCGATGCGATTAATCAGGCGTTTTTCCCAAGCCGGGGGTGAGCGCTTTTTTGTTGTGTGGTGTTCTTTGTTTGTTGTTATTCTTGAACCGTTACATCTAGAAACTGCAACCGCACCGCAATACACAACAAAGTGTAGTTGATGTAAGCTTGTGTTATCGTTAATGTAATTTGGTAAAATGTGATCATTTAGTGTTTTTGAGAGTGTGCGTAATTTTGTAGTGTGACTTTGTTTAGGTATTCGTGCTCTTTGTGTTGGGTCAGTGTTTGAGAATTCTAACAATGCATTGTCAAATTCTTTTTGAAGGGATGTGAGTGTTTGGTTTATGTGATTATTTGTATCTATCGATTGCTGGGGTGTCGCAAATATCTGTATTTCAGTGTTGTTTAGAACGGGTGTATTATCTTGTACGATGAGTGTGTTGTTTGTGTTGAGTAGTGCTTCAATTTCGTGCCTGATTTGTTCCTGTGTGTCTAATGTAAGGAGTGTATTTTTAATGATAACTCTACGTTGGTCTGCAATGCGTTGTTCTGTCAAGTGTGCTAAATGTGGGTATTGTGTAATGAACGCGTGATATAGTTTACCTCTGTATGCTGTCCTGTCCGTTTCCATCTTCGTGATCTCCAGATACGTACCGAAAATGAAGCGATTCATCCCTTCGTCCCATTTCATACGTCTTTTGGAGGTATCCTTTGCGCTGGTCCCATCCACAAGCGGTTGAGAAGCAGGCACAAAGGTCTCTTCATGGCGGTCCTCTTCAGGTGGTCGTTGTCCTCTTCGTAGTCTTCTTTCGGCTGTAGAGGTTTCGGGTATCCCGACGAGCGGCCGCCTGTTCACCAACTCGTCACTATCGGCTCGCATGCTGCAACGCCCAGCGATAGCTCCAGACGTGCCCTGACGCTCCTCAGGTAGCGGCATTTTTCCGAGGCTTTGCTTAAACTCCATTTTCATAAGAATATGGGGTGACTAGGAACACGTGAAGGCGTCACTCTTCAAGATATTCGCGTAAGCAAATATCCACCTGCGTGTTGTGTATAATGTAGGAAAGTAGGGAACATGGACGTGGGAGTTGGAAAGTAAAGTGGGTAGGTAAGTACTAAAGGTGGTTGGACTGGTCACCTTTAGTGCCCATTGATCGCCTTTTACGATCTCTAGGGCGAGAGTGGGCCTATTCTATCCCCGAACCCACAGGGGTTATTATTATTATTATTATTATTATTATAACAGTTACCTACCTCTTATAAAGCTATCCAATGGCATTCTTCTCTGATAGTGCAATAAATTAAGATTATGTAACATTCTAATATGAGCATCAAATAAATCTTATGTAAAATAACCTTTTCTAGCGCAGGGCAGTAAAAGAGAAAGTAACCTACTGTAATAGAAATAAAATTGCAGTGCCGATGTCAAATGACGATACAGTCTTTGTGATTAAGCCTAAAGGTCAACGGGATGAAAATTGTAGAATCAGGAAGTCTAGGCTTCCATTATAGTTTCGTAAAACGATTGTGCGTGTAGTAGGCCAATCAAATCTAAAAACTTTCTACACCAAATCCGTTTTATCACCATTGTCATTAAAAATAGTTACCAGGAAATGACATTACCTCTTCGTAACGAGGAGTAGATATATTTACATTAAAAACATGCGCCGGGCATGAACAATCAAAGAAAATGTGTACCTGCACGTTTACTAGCAGGTATTAATTTACTTTGGCTAATGGTAGGTTGTCACAAATGAAAACATGTAACTGTAGCCTGTTATAAATTAATTTCACGTGAGATATTTACGTTGTTCTTGTTTGCCTATGCAACGAAGAAACTGGCGGAATAATGTCACAAAATAACATCAAAGGAAAAAGTGCTCAACTCTCTAATTACATATAATCGTCAATTCTTTTAGCTAATAATTTGATTTCCCTACCTTGGTGCATTGCAGGTATATGATAAAACTAAAACAAAAGCAGATTTGGTTGTAATTAATTGAAACGTCAAGTCATGTCAATGAATGTTATTTATTCAATCCTTATTACTCACAGATTTTTTAATTCACCAAAAAACCTCACACATTTCGGTAGTTTTGGGCGGGCAGCAAGTTTTATGTTGGTTTACATTCAATACAGCTTTTACCCCCGAGCTCGAGATTATCAAATTCTCTTTTACCTCATTATATCCTTGAGAAACATGGTACCATCACAGTTTTGTTAATTATGCAACGTCAAAGTATATTTTACTATATTTTAATGTCTGATTGTCCATTAGCTATATCGATTGGTATTTAACAATGTACCTAATTAATTTAGTATAACGCAAATCCTATACCAGTAAACTTGATTTCTTTAAACTCCTTAGTATAGGAAAGTATAAATAACGATATTAGCAAAATAATTATCCACTCAGAAATTGTAGCAATTACATGAGGTACATATCCAGAGTCGTCAGGTGTCCACCATATTAAATCACCTACAACTAGCATATAACCAACAATTTGCCTAAATCTAAGACACTTACCTTCAAAATCTTTCTCGGAGGCATATCCAAATCCGATCAATATAAAAAATAGTATCACACAAGTAGCGCTTATGACAATTCTGGCAATTACAGTGTTCCTGGCGATTCCGCAGGAGTTCGGTTTTGTTTCCAAATTACGGAATGCGTATGATATACGGGCCTAGAAATTTGTTTAATTAAATCTCTCGTATTTTGTCATTGCCAGCGGCTCTTGTTTTTATTACACATTGAAGGCAAACGTTGTGTAATTGAAAATAACACAGAAGCGCGCTACGTACTGGAAAATTACCATGCGGTTGTAGGGGGTTTAAATGGAATTTGTGTCTTTGTTATTTTATTAAAGTTAATTAAACAGAAAACCTTCTTTTAATATTCGTCGAATGGAATGCAGTTTTCGAAATTTCATTTTTATTGTTTGTTGTAATTATGCAATTCAAGTTAGTGCCGCTTTTATTTAGGGGGTGAACCTACGGCTATGCTTTACGGTTACACTTAAACTGAGTTCGACACTTTTCCAAAAATATTAAGAAAGGAACGAGGGATATATTGTACCGAAGTGTTATCACTAATCAGTGAGCAAATTGGTATTTGTATCAACAGGAAAAGAACTAGTGATAGGATTTCTAAGTAATTTGGGTACGGGGGTCTGAGTTATCAGTTCATTTTGCCCCCAAATAGTTTGGAAATCCCTGGGAATTTAGATCAACGCTTTTTGTAACTTGATTAATTATTTAATTTAATATGGTTAGGATTTCTCGACATATTTCGGTCAAGAATTGGCCCTTACCTCCCCCAGCACAAATCACCATCGAATGACACAAAACATAACATTAAGTTTAAATTCCCATCTTAGAGTTGGCAGCCCTACAATTTCAGCCGAAAGTAAAACATTTCACGTCCAAACCGAAAAGTTGAAAGTTTCCTTTCACTTTCAAGAAAATCACCCATTCCCAGCATGTAAAACGCGCTTTACATAAATATATGTGTAAATGAAATGAAATGTACAGTTTGAAATATTAAATTACTGTATTTCTACATTAAGAAACCGGAGCTATATTTTTAACCGCATCACTTGTAAACCCCCGTGATCTGGATGCATTGTTGTTATACGGACTAACGACCAAACCAAAAGGTGGAGAATTCATGCCATTGATTAAGACCCACTGTTCTATTTGAAGATCATCATGGACCGTTGATGCCATATATATCGTTGCATCACCGCCGGATAATTTGTCTCGCAAGCAGAAAATGCGCTGGCGTAATTGGATTATAGTCATTTGGATTGGAGTTAACAGGTAACCTCGGAGGTAACAGCTTTTCTTATCAATTAGGCCCGGTTGTACAATGTCCGATTAAACTTCAGTTTGGTTTAACCGACAGATTTGAGAAATACGATTGGCCAGCTTGTGAAATATTAGCCAATCAAATCCTTTAACCCACAATTCAACTATAAACTGAAGTTTAAACTGACATTATACAACCGGGCCTTAATGTTCCTGATTTAAATTCTTTTTAAATTCTCACTCTGCAGTGTATTTGATATTCTTACGCCATCTAGGTATTTCTTTGTAATTTTACCGTAGTTCTTTGTTTCGCCATTAGAGACTTCTTATTACAATAGTTCTTTGCTTCGCCGCCCAAGGTCGTGCAGATGTTATCCATGGTACTTCTAATTCTATCACTTCTTAAGTTCTATCTTGCACACGAGTAGTATTTCTCGGGCAGTGAAGATTCTGCCGTCATATTAGTTACCTACATGCAAATTATTTTTCTTCGTTACTGATTTCGTGTGTACCTGTAGAAGGACTTATTGGGTTTTGGCTGTCTCCATATACAGGGTAGCCCACTGAAAACAGTCAATGCCAATTTTGCCAACTTAACGACAGTTTTGCCAGAAACACTCGAACACGTCAATTTTAGTTTTGAGGGGGACAACTAAATTAAGTAATACTACTTACATAACTTTAACCCTGAGAAGGTGGTGAATTCTACCCCAAAAATTTTAAATAGGAAGGGGTAGTAGATGTTAGATAGGTCGAATGGAATGTTCATTATGTTTTCAGAACTGTTTTTATTTTTCAAATCCGATCAGTAGTTCCAGAGAAAACTCGATTTAAATGGATTTGCAGAGCCGTTTTAAATGTTTATTAAGTAGGCGTTGAAGTTGAAATAATTGAGAGCTTATGTCAGAAAAGAACATCTGACATAAGTGTCCCTACTAAGTGCACCAGCAAGGAAGTGAAGGCAGAATCGCCATTTAAAAAAAAACGAAACAATCTCCACCCTTTGCGCTATAATGTAAACCGTCATTGTTTTTCAATTTACCACAAAATTAAAGAAGTTAATTTAACACACTCACAAATTCGCTTCATTGCTTGTGCACTTATTGCACTTATGTCACATTTTTTCTGAATTGTACGAGCAATCCGTGGTCGAGTCAAAATGTTGCTTTTGGTTAGTTAATCGATTCTTATTGAATATTAATTACGGTTTAATATCCGATTGCTGACGTGTTCTCTGTTCAGGGTTTAATGTGGAATTCACATGGTACCAATTTCCTGGAAGGGTTTTGCTCTGAATTGCTCCTGACAAAAAAAGTATATTGTAGCACACACTTGAAATGGAAAAGAGGAGTATCACCTCACTAATCGCTCAGAAAGTTAGAAGAGAATGTAATTGGCTACAATGAAACTCCAACCACATAATAAGGGGAGTAAGTACGATGCAGTGTCACAGTCATAATCCAGCCACAATTGCTACTTCAAGAAACTTGGAGTGGAAATCCAGGATGGGAGGATCAGACAGAAAAGGAATTTCGTCTGTGGTCATTGTCTCTATCTTGAAGGAAGTATTCATACCAACCTTCAACTTCCTGTTTTTTCTGACGCTTCTAAAGATGCGTATGCTGCTGATGCTGTGTTCTTAAGGAATGAAAATATCACTTCTCGACTGATTCTTCAGTTGCACTCGCTTGGATACAAATAGATGGGGATTGGTGAGTGATTGATTAAAATCGGAAATCAGAAATACTTAAGTCAACTGGATGTCCATGAACCTAGCAGAACAAGGTCAGCAGAACACAATCAAACATATTGCGTAATTAGGCGCTAATTAATTAATTAATTAATTCCCGAATTAAATGCTCCTTTTTTTTTAAAATTATTACATGTTTTGCCAGGTTCATATGAACTCAGCAGAACACTACCTCAAAAAACCAAAAAAAGGAAAAGTGAACCAACTATAATTAGGTGCTAATTAAGTGCCCTATCCCCGAATTAGATGCTCCTTTTTTTAAAAAATTCTTACATGTTCTGCCAGGTGCATATGAACTCATCAGAGCACTACCTCAAAAAACCAAGAAAATGAAAAGTGAACTAACCATAATTAGGTGCTAATTAAGTGCCCTATCCCCGAATTAAATGCTCCTTTTTTTTTAAATTATCACATGTTCTGCCGGGTTCATAATTAAAAAAAAGAAGCATTTAATTCGGGAATAGGGCACTTAATTAGCACCTAATTATGCAATATGTGTGATTATGTTCTGCTGACCTTGATCTGTTAGGTTAATGAACATGTCAACTTGACGGGAGCATTGGAGGCATATCACCGGTAATCTGATTCCAGCGGACTTGCCTTCAAGAGAATGCAACCCTCATCAATTTATTCAGATGCAGATGGTGGGAGGATCCTGAGTGGTTGTACCAACCATTTAATGGTTGGCCAGTCTCCTGTTTCCAGTTATAACGAAGAAGAAATTGAAGAGAAAAAATTAGTATGGGATAAGCTCAGGAAGCCAAACGATGGTAGAATCGTCACTTTATCAGAGGACTTTTGCGATCTTACGATCTGTAAAACAAGACACGGTGTAACAGAACGGAACGATTGAATGTAAAGCGTGCCCTCCAAGAACTCATTCGCGTGGAAACCCGACTTTGGTGTAAAGAAGACAAGAATTTCATCTCCCCTATCTTGTTACCAAAAAGTCACCTACTTCTGTCACAGCTCTAATTCACGACTTTCACCTGTATCAAAGACACGATTTTTGAAAATAAAACATTTGTAAAATCCCTACACTATGTACTACCTACAATATTTCTATATTATATATTATATTATATTATCCGGCGACAAACGGGCTAAGCAATTATTATTCCAAAGGATATCCTTGGCTATCCAACATGGAAATAGCGCATGTATCCTGGGCACTATCCCAACTGAAAAACAGTTCGACGAAATTTATTTGTTATAGTTAAATATTGTTTCCTTTGTTACACAATTTTAACAATTTCGTTAAAAAAAAATATTTCTCCTAAACATTTTTTTCAATCTATCCTACGAAGGTGGCCATTTTGGAAATCGAAATTACAAAAATGTTAGGACAAATGTTGTAGGGATTTTATAAATGCTTTACTTTCAAAAATCTATGGGGTGGTTATCAAAAAATGTTTTTTTGAAATTTTTGATCGATCGCCATTTTGTTATTCGAGAAAATAAAAAATAATTGCGAATACAAACGTTTTAGAGAGCTGAAATATTTTTCAATAATCCTTAAAATAAGGGAGTTATGACGATTTCTCGAAAAACAAAAGAACGCCAATAACTTCGAACCGGTGCACTAAATCAAAAATTGGAATTAAGGACAGTTGTTTGTTTTAATGAGTTATAACTACCGTTTTCGGGTGTAACGACTTAGTATTAACACCCTGTATAGCACTGTTGCATGCACTCCTAAATAAATGCTGTATAACAGTTAAATTTTTGTGATTTTCACAATTACGAATTCGTTTATAACTCTTATAAGTTATGGTTCTTTTGTGATGAAATTTCTGAAGCAATAGAAACTCGTGCTCAACTGCTAAGGCTAATTACTTTAACGTATATAGCATTCGGCCGAACATACTTTTATGTGCCCATTCGAATTCACTTAATGGTTTCGTAAATAAAACCGAAAGCCGTACCCGAACCGTTTGTGTTCTGAACCGAAACCGTAATTCTTTCTTTCTTTTCTTTATAACGGGCGATCAAAAAAGGATTGACGTCGAGTCGCCTTTGGAAGTTAAAGTTAAATATGATTTTCCATGTAAACAAAAATTCCAAAGGTGACTCGACAGCAACTCTTTTTTGATAGCATTCCCAATCGGTTCGAAACCTAGTTTGAAACCGAAAACGCCGTTATGAACCGGTAAAAAACCGCAACCTTACGCAAATATTTTTACAACCGGAACCAGAATCGGAACCGATTACAGGTAGATCCTCAGCAACCTAGATCGCTTGTTCGTTACAAAACAAGTATCTGCGTATAGGTCCGTTTTAGACACTAATTTAACATACTTATGTTTCTTAGTCTGTTCTCGTTTATTGTAATGTTCGAATGATTAACAAACTGCAAAGGCTAATAAATCAGAAATAAGCCATAAAAGTTTCACCGACATTAAAAGTATGCGTCTCATATAGGGTTGATGGTTAAAAAATTACGTAATCAACCCAAATTATGCTCTGTTGGTCAGAGAAACAAATTTATTCCTCAGAACTCCGACGAAACTAATATATTGAGGGGTTATTTATTCTCCTACCCCAACCGGTGGATTTATTACTTATCCTTTTGCAACTGAAATCCGAATTCAGTTAATGAGAAATTAATTGCCCCACAGAAAAAAAATTAATTATTCCGTCGGAAAACACCGTAGGTACCTATTTAATCTCACTCTTCATCCCCAGTAATTTCGCAAATAAGAAATCTTCGTCATATCCGACTGTAAATTACCGACTTATAAATATTCATACTCTCTCCGAATTAGCATTTCAAAGTTTACTTCTCTTATTTTGACCGTCTCTCCATTAACTCATTTATTTGCGTTCACAGAGGCGGCCCAAAATTAATACATCTCGCGGCATTCGCTTTTATGGGACGCAGTTAGGTAATGAGCAAATTTTGATTAGAGACTTACTGTAGGTAGCTTTCGCATTATTAAAATTGCCTCTTTAAATTTGTAATAAAATGCTACCCAAAAGTGAGTTGTTTTATAAGGGACGCATTGCCCTTTAACTGTTTTCATTTACGACGTTCGATTTTAATTTCATGCTTAAACATTTGCATATCCAGCTTTACAAACGGCTCCATCTCCCCATATTAAAGACAGAAGTTTTATTCATCACATTACCAATTTTAATTGCGGTGGGAATAAAAAAAAATAACTGGGATTTTGTCTGCATAGGGGATTCAAAATCTCATGAAAACGTTTCTGCGTTGGTTTTTCATATTTTTTGAAAAAGGTACGGGTATGACCACCTGGTATAATTATAATGTGACGTTTTTCAAGCATTCGAATCTTTTTAAAAATGACTTTAATAGAAAACGAACAGATTAAAAAATTCTCATAATGTCACCGCTTCACCATTGAGTAATTAAATTCATTCAACGGCTTCACCACATTGTCAACTCACTTGATCCTTACATTACCCCCTCCTTAGAACCTGTATCGTCCCGAAACTCCAAGATATTGAGCCGAGAATCATGAAGGAAACGACAGGTTGCAGCTTTAGAACAATATATTCATTCTTGGGGAGTTGTCTTTATCAAGACACAAATGGCGCGCGAGGATCTAATTAAAATGTGAGGAGGTCAAGACAGTGTAGGAATCTCCAACCAATTTTTCTATTAATATTTACTGTTAATGTGGTTGATGGGCTCGAAGTACGAAAAACAGATAAAAATTTGTTCTACAGAATCCACAAAAATTATCCTTAATAAAAATACTTCTGGTTGGATAGTGCGTTGTCTACTTTATGTGCAAAAGAGGCTTTAGCATCTCCTAACAGTGGAATCATTCGACTATGCATGCTGAGGGACGCAATGCAACCTAAATAAGTAGCTACAGTGACAACAAACGGCTGAAAAAGTGCAAAACACATATTGTTCAGCAATCGGAATGGGGTGCAACATTAAAAGCGAGAAACAGGGCTGACATAAACGTGATTGAAATTACTTGATAAATTGTATACAATACTCCTCCACCAAGCACCAATACAGCGCCGAAAAAGTGTATCCCTCGCATATTCATTTTTTGGAAATTGGCAACAATACTCATCCCCAGGCATCCAATGCTCGCTAACCACATAGACGTCCTATTTAATTTGGAGCAATCGGTGTCGTGCAACTCACTTACTAACTCTACTTGTCGATATCGCAGGTACATGTTGAGAAGCACTGAAACCAAACATATCACTATATGATGATATACAGACAGTGTGTCCACGATATAAGAATGAGCAGTATGGGCAAATCGGAAACCATAAGAGATACACAGTCTCTTAACTAGATAAAAGTTGCATATTTTATGGCTTAGTAAAGTGATGTTTTAAAAATTCGGAAATTCCGATCAGTTCCGAAAATGTTAGAAAAACACCCCAATTAACCATATACGTTTTTGTTTTTGTCTGACCCTGTCATATATCAAAAAACAAATAATACTTTTTCATAGGAACTTTTTAAGCTCTCCGGGATGATGCCCACTGCGACGTTTCGTCTTTGAGAAACCATCATAAACTTCATATTTTTACATAGACTCGAAAAAAGTGCATAATTATACTTGAGTTGCATTTTTTAATATGGATGCAACGATGTATGACAAAATATCATTCTTTATTATGCCATTTAAAGAAACAATCAGTTAATTATTTTGCATTTTGTCAACGCCTACTAGACCAAAATGTTAAAAATCTAATAACAAACTTTTTTTTTGATTTGAATAAAATAAACAATGTTTACATTGGCACATTCTCAGTGTCTATTCCCCCACAAGAGATTTTTGGACCAGTTTGAAATGCCTTTAGAATTGTATCTTCGCAGAGCTGACAGGATTTGTTCGTACTCGAAATATTCATACCGGGATAAATCGCGCGTAGGTATTTCAATCCCCAGACATTACTTTTCCTGGAAAAGTTCACACTCACATAATAGCAACTGAATTGTTCGTATGCGGGTATCTTGCTAGGACTTTAACAATTTCCGTACCTTTCAAAAAACTGTTCAGACATTTTACAGTATCTCAAAAGTATAGAATGCCGATTTGTAAATATGAAAAAATGATTCAAATAATAGTAATTTATTATAGAAAATGATAGAGGGTTTTAACCATCGAGTGAACTTACACAGAAGTCATAGAAATCACATAAAACCTCTGAAAATTCGTTTTCGGGGAAACAATATTGTATTCTGTTCTGAACTTTATTTTATAGCGTGCTCCGCGTCCCATCTCTAATAAGAATGACAGATGTCATTATATATTTCAGCACTACGGGCCTTATAGACCCATGGCTTAATCCTTTCTACCTTATTACATTATATTTTTGACTTTACCCTAATATTCACATTTGTTTAAACCTTATCCACTACTTTATCCACAAATATCATTAGAATGGACAATGATTTGTTTCATTTTATCTACCCTTGCCGTCTCCTGGATGGATCTCATCGCCTCTTCACTTGCACAGGAGTCGATTATTTTGGCACATTTTGTGTGAACTGAACGCGAGACGGAAATTAATGAGTGACAACGGGACAAACTTCATGGGTGCTCCGCAGGAACTCAAGATAACACTTCCTGAGTTGGATAAGGGCAAGATCTTACGTACTGTGGCTATAAACAGAACTGAATGGTCATTTATCCCTTCAGCCAGTCCCCACATGGATGGAACCCGGTATATTAATTTTATATGATCATGTTTTTAATAAACATTGGTTTACATTTAAATTGGTCTTAAGAGTCGACGTGATTGCCTAAGGTTACCAGAAAATTTCCTTTTACGCTGCAATGGCGGCTGTCGGTTTTGTATGCTATAATTAAGAGTATAGGAATCTGAAAAACAGAAAAGTTTTCTACGTGGACCTAATGGTGGCCGAGACATTTATGTCCATGAACTTGGCAGGCCTACTATAGCAGACCATGGTTCTGCTTACTCATATCGTTAGTGTTCCGTTAGTGCACGTTAGTGCCGCTGAGGAAATTGTTAGTGCACAAAAGGGAACTTACTATTTTAAAAAAATATTTGTGGGCCTGCTAACTTCATGCCAACAGACCCATTTAAGAAAATCGATGCAATCTTTACACTAGTTAAACTAGCAGCGTTAGTGCTCGTTAGTGCCACCAATATAAACGTTAGTGCTCAAAGTGTAACAGCTCAAAACGTTGTAAAAAGGGGTCTGCTAACTTCATGCAGCAGACCCACATTTGTCAAATTGGCCCTGTCCTAATGCGAATTTGAAGCAGCTCGTTAGTGCTCGTTCGTGCTTCACATGCGAACGTTAGTGCTGCAAGGAATCCGCACGAAAAAGGTACCAAACCACCTCAAAATTAAACGTGGCTTATTGGGACCTGCCAACTTCATACCGGTATACCAACGAAATCCGTTTGGTTTTCTACTTTAATCGATCAATCAGTATTAGTGATCGTTAGTGTCGCAAAAAAAGCGTTAGTGCAACAGCTCAAGATGTGAAAATATGAGTTTGCTTTGTGAAAAACTAACGAGTAAATTAGTGATGTCTTTATTAGCTCTGGTTTCTATTTCTATTTTCATATTTTGCATTTTATAATATGCGGTTCAAACCTTTGGTATGATTTGGGTTGTTGGTCTACCGGCGTGAAGTTGGCAGGTCCCAATAAGGCACGTTTCATTTTGAGGTGGTTTGGTACCTTTTTGATGCGGATCCCTTGCAGCACTAACGTTCGAATGTGAAGCACTAACGAGCCGCTTCAAATTCGCATTAGGACAGGGCCAATTTGACAAATGTGCGTCTGCTGCATGAAATTAGCAGACCCCTTTTTACAACGTTTTGAGCTGGCACACTTTGAGCACTAACGTTTATATTGACGGCACTAACGAGCACTAATACTTACCGGTCGATTAAAGTAGAAAATCAAACGGATTTCGTTCGTTGGTCCACTGGCGTAAAGTTGGCAGGTCCCAATAAGTCAAGTTTAATTTTGAGGTGGTTTGGTACCTTTTTGACGCGGATCCCTTGCAGCACTAACGTTCGCATGTAAAGCACTAACGAGCACTAACGAGCCGCTTCGAATTCGCATTAGGACAGAGCCAATTTGACAAATGTGGGTCTGCTGCATGAAGTTAGCAAACCCCTTTTTACAACGTTTTGAGCTGTTACACTTTGAGCACTAACGTTTATATTGGCGGCACTAACGAGCACTAACGCTGCTAGTTTAACTAGTGTAAAGATTGAATCGATTTTCTCAGATGGGTCTGCTGGCTTGAAGTTAGCAGGCCCACAAATATTTTTTAAAAATAGTAGTTTCCTTTTGTGCACTAACGATTTCTTCAGCGGCACTAACGTGCACTAACGGAACACTAACAATATGAGTAAGCAGAACCATGGTCTGCTGTAGTAGGCCTGCCAAGTTCATGGACATGAGATATTTTACTTCATAATTGGTAATTTAATTTTTGAAGTTTCCCCACAGATTAGTATGCAAAATCGTTTATAAAGAAAAGTATCCTAGATGCGAAAGTGATCATTTAGGAACTTAAAATGAGTAATGAACATTTTTATTATCCTTGTGGTAAGTAATTACACCAAACCTTAAAATATTTGTTGTAAAAACAAACAACTTCTTCTTAATTTAATTTTTTCATTATTGACAACCCCAGTGATTGAACCGATTGAGATAACCGTATATAAAAATGAATACAATAAAATTAATTGAACCTTGATTCAAAATTAACAATTAAAAGTCAATTTTTTCTAACAAAGGGCCCGTTACAAACATTGTTCAATACTTTTGAGACACTCTGTAAATGCAATCCTGATGCTTTAAAACAGATAAAGGAAACAATTTACAGAACTCGCTATTGCGAATTCTGTGCAAAATAATTACTTATGTGGGTGCGTAAATGACCGCTACTTGCAATGTTCAGGGAGTAAAGCATCCAAGGATCAACCCTGGGAGCGAAATGTTCGGGTGAAAACTATCCAAGAGTCGTTCTTTAAAAGTAATATTATTTAACATGTAAAAGTGGTAATAAAGCTGTTTAACTTATAGCGTTTTCGATTGGCAAAACTCGTGCTGCACGAGTGCAATTTTTACGTTCTATTGGTAATTTTAGGGCAATTTTCTGTGTTCCATTGGCAAATGTGATGCAACAATTACGCACTAAATGCAAATTTTGACGCACGAGGTCGGAGAGCTCGTGGAGCAAATTTTCAAAATAAAAGTGCGCCAATTTGAATTTGTTTCTTGCGTTGGAGAGTTTTTTGTTGTCATCTAGCGATAGCGAAGATGATGAACTAGCCATATAACTTCTACTTTACAAAAAGTTGCATTTACTCTATAAAGTGAACGCCAAAAATTGGTTCTTTATAGGAATTTCAAATTTATATTCCTCATTGTTTATCATAAATAATAGTGAAATCGTTTCAGTCATTTTTTAGAATACAGATTTGTCGATTACCTAAATCATTGTATAAATACAAATCTAAAATGAGGTTATGGACAAATGACAGCAAATATTTACGAATATTTATGTTCCATTGAGAGTAATTTTCACATGGATTTCTTCAGTTTCTCGTGCAACACTCGTGCAGTACGAGTTTTGCCAATCGAAAACGCTATTAGTGTATACTTAGTAATGTATCGTATAATTGAAACAAAATTTCAGTTTATCACATGTGAGGAAGTTGTTGAAGAGCAACAGGATGAATAATAATTTATTTCCCCCTGCTACCTAAACGGTTTTTAGAATTTTCCAATACCTTTTGTATTAAAACATAAGATCCTCAAATTAAATAATTGATTTTGGCACAGAGAAACTTACCCTTATATACGGCTAAGGACGAGGATGAACTCTTTACTTATAAGTAGACCTCCCGAACACGCACAGATACTTACTTATAAGCGTTCCTAAATTAATAAGTTGGCTAAATATACAGCTTTCAGGTGAGTACGTTCCGGTATCGCTTACGTACGGAAAAATTTTGTATGCATGTTTCTTTCCTACGGATATGCTATACCTGTAAAGAAAGAAATTCGTTACAATATGGCATCAACTGGCGAACTTTTTTTTCTATTGATGTACTGACTTTTAAACAAGTCAACGGAAAGTTGTAGGTTAATTACTGCAGCATTAGGTACATTTTATCAAAGCTCAAATAAATGCCTTTCCATTTTGTGCTCGTTAAAAGTTTTACGTAAAAAGATATCGTAACAAAGTTTGCTTAATTAATGTATTGTACCTTTTGCTTTCGATTCATAAACCAACATTAAAAGAGTGATTTATTAAATTTTAAGTTGGTTAATTATTATTTTCAAGTCATTATTTTAGAAAATATCAAGTAAATGTGTTAATTTTTACAAAAATTCGTATGTATACCTACTGCAGTTTGTTTCAAATTAAGCCGGCACTATTGCTAACTTTCCTAGTTGTAGAGTTGAGCAAAATTGTGCATTTTTAGTGCACTTTCACTTTAAAAAAATAAAACTTGCACTTTTTCGCTTTTGATCTCTGTCTGTCTGTCTGAGTCACAAAGACTCCGGAACTACACCGCTTACAGACTTGGTATTGGTGTCATTCGATCAGAAATTAAAAATTATTTCATCTTTGTATTTTCTTTAAGGGATGAAATGTCCATAAGGGCTATTAAAATCGAAAAAACAAATTTGAAAGTGCACTCTTCGCGTCTTACTCACAAGCGGCTTAAGGAATTTTTTTCTACTGAATCCGAATATGTAATTTAAAAAACAAAACAACATCGCATTTTTCGAATAACAACAAACCTTTCTTTTTGTTTTTAAGAAAAGCTCCTAGCATCAAAACTAAGTGAGTTACGCTCAAAATAAAGTTGGTCCTTTTTTTTGGAAAAAAAATTGAGGAGATCACCCCCTAATTAGCACCCCAATTGTAATTAAGCGTTACCGCTTTACAGTTTACTTTATTTATGTATTGTTTATATGATCTGTAAGTTTGACCGGTGCAAAGTGCTTATTTTTGAAAAAAAATGTAGTTTTGAAGTAAAAAAAATTTTGAAATTTTGAAAAATTGTCTTTTTTTTCCAAAATAACTATTAGTGTATTAGTTTAGTTTACTACAGTAGGCAATTTTTCAAAATTTCAAATTTTTTTTTTACTTCAAAACTACATTTTTTCAAAAATAAGCACTTTGCACCGGTCAAACTTACAGATCATACAAACAATACATAAATAAAGTAAACTGTAAAGCGGTAACGCTTAATTACAATTGGGGTGCTAATTAGGGGGTGATTTCCTCAATTTTTTTTTCCAAAAAAAAAGGACCAACTTTATTTTGAGCGTAACTCACTTAGTTTTGATCCTAGGAACTTTTCTTAAAAACAAAAAGAAAGGTTTTTTCAAACAGTTTAAAAAAGTATTCATAACTTTTCCCCGAAAAGTGCTTCATTTTTTGGTTAGTTCACGTTGAAGTACTCGATTTGGAATTTGACGAATGAGAACCTACTTTTCATGAGCTACAACTTTGCTTCTACTGGGTCTACAGACTTCATATAGACCAATTTATTTGTCTGTTTATAAGCTATATTTTTGCTAAGAATACTTTTTTCGATACAATACTTACTTTTAGAGTTATTTGCGAAAAACCGTCTGAAAACGTAGTTTTTTGTTGAAAAATGAACATTTTCACTCGCAATTAACTCGAATACTATTGACTTAGTGAAAAAACTCTATAGAACAAAAGTTGCTTAGAATTACTCAATTTATCAATTTCCGGACTTATTTTGAACGTATCTTTTTCCCCCCCCGAGAAGGGGTGGCATTCACCCCCCAAGTAAAAGCAACCCTGGGCTCAAGTTCACCTTTGAAGTAGAGGGTAAGAAGAACCTAAATCCAAATTTTCATGCGATTCGCTGGAGACGCGGAAAATTACACAGTATCGCCGTATTCCACGTTCATTTACTGGCCTAATATACTTACAGGGTGATTCAAATTCGAAGTAGTCTAGAAAAAGCGCTGAATCAACATAAATTTATTTCTTTCTCAAAGAAACTAAATCCGCAGCGTAAGATTCGAAACCTTATATGACCTCTTTTTATCTTGTAAAACGAAACAATTTTTTGTAAACGTGGCTTCGAATGTGATAAAGATCAGTGAATTCCATCCGCCAAAACTTGAACCTGATATAATAAATATTTGTTTGGTAGAATATGAATGAAACCTTTACCGTTTGTAACTTTACCCTTCCGTATATTTGAATGGAAGAAAATAAAAAGTCACGTAAAAATGTCCACTCTTTGCACTCTTAGGGAGTATCACGTTTTTGTTATCTCTCCTCTAATAAATACTCACAAAATGCTTAAATACCTTATTAAAACAAACCATGGAAAAACTATTATATATTTATAGAGCGATGTCATAGACGCCATGTCATTTTTCATTCGTCTGAACTTATCTGCATGCCTAACTTCATAACATTTAAAAAACAGTGTCAATTTTATATAAAATCATACAAAATCGATATTGCCAACAAACATCTCTTACATTTTATATTTTACAGTAAGCGTACGATCGTTTCTTTCCCGCAGTGAACTTCTCTTTCGACATAAACCAGCAACGTATTATTAATTTAACTTGTTGAAAGTATGGCGGCACTATCTCAGGTTGTAGTACAACAAATCTTAGAAACACTGCGGTTATACGGCTATTCGGTACGAATTTTGATTTAATAATACGCGATTTATTAAACCTTTCGCTTTCACAATATGGAAATTTGCACCAACGGTTCCATTTAAAATCAATATGCGATCGAAAAATTTAGGACTCGACTCGAACATTTTAGTCCGAATGCCGCTCTTCCACCAGATTTTCACTTAAATACCTCGCCGAATCCCAAATTCGAATCGGACCCAACCAAACAAGGAGTTAACGCGGTTTTTTTTATACGCGCTCAAGTGTAGCAGAGATTACTCCAGTCATGCTCCGTAGCGACGCTTTTCAGAGCCGACCACACTGTGACGTTTCGGCTCTTATCCGTGTAAATATTTGTTCTTTAGCTCAAGACGACTTATTTCTCGAATATTCTGTGTCTTTTCTTTATGAAGTGGTACACGTATACAATTTTCTATACCAGTAAATTTGTAAATTTAATTAAATAAATTTTAAAGCTCAAAACGATCACCTGTTACACCAGGGTTCGACGCATACAAAAAACGCCGGTAGAGTTATAGAAAAAAGACTTCTTGGTCCCGGTTCTTGCTCCGAAAGTATTGTTTGGTGTTATCCGTGGTGTTAAAGTATAAAAAAGTGCGAGGATTACTAACGGTGGGGTGCAAATCAAATCAGCCAAGTGAAGTGAAGTGAAGTCGAAGCATTCCTAAGGGAATTTTGGGAATCCCTAAAAATGTTTTTAAGAATTGTTGAAGGGAGATTTTAAGTATTTATCAAAAGTCAAGCCAAACGTTACTTGAGGATTTTCGACATTTGAATATGATCTTTGGCAAAATTCATAGGAAAGCTTCTAAGATTTGTAACGATATTTTAGATCTTAATCAACTCTTGCTGATTATATTAACAATTCCACTACGCGACCCATAAAACAAAGTACCATCTTGACTATTTTTTGTTTTTCTTCTTTATCTTTTTTTCAATGAATGTTTGCTACCCAAAAGTGCCAATTTAGATATAGGAATGTATTCTTATTTCCCAATGGATAATCAGTCGATGAAGAGGAAGGAAGGGGTCTCGATTAAAAAAATAACCTTTCGAATTTTGGGAGCTGAGAAATTTAACATGATTTTCTGAGTACTTTAGACAAAATCATTTGTTATACAGGGTGCCCCAGATAAGTAATTACTTGGAGATTGTAACGGGAATCCGCTACGGATTTAAATTTTTTCGATTGCGTCATGAATCATGATCAATTAACTTATCATATGTGCGAATTCGTACGAATAGTAACCGCGAATCGGTGTCTTTGTGAAAGATAGGCGTAGTTGAATAAAGCGTCGGCTGTGCGATAATACAAGCGAATTGTCAAAATTGTGTCGGTTCCGGTTGCATAAAGCGAGGCAACGTAAAAAGATGAGAATGATGGCTTGTGATTGGTAGAAAAGGGACGCTAGGCCTAAATGTTGCGTTGGTTCCGTTTTAAGCTTGGTCGGCAATATAGCCAAGGGAAAGGGAGAGAGACGAACAGCAACCGCCTTGGAATACAAGTCTTTTTTCACAATCGTTACGCAATAACGGCCCCACTCCCAGAGAGTTAGCACCATTTTCGTATAAAAAGTGTGGGTCAGACAGGTAGATACTCTCCAAGGTAATGTTTAATAACGAAAAGTCAAAAAAATTTCACCGGCAAGTAGGAGAATGAACTTCATGGTATCATTAGAATTACGTAAAAAATGTAACGTTTTTAGAAAAACTGAAATCAGATTTCTCACGAGAGGAGAATAAGTCATTTAAATTTATGATTCTTGATAACTGTTTTCTACATTGCTTACTGATTTACTGCGTTTTTAAATAAGTTATTTAACGTTGCACGAACTGGGGTACATTTAAATATCATCAACCATTTTTGGACCCAATATAAGTATTACAGACTAACGTAGCATATGTCAGTTTCCCACACGAACAAAATAGCGAAAGCGTATCTATGTCCTCGTTACGTTAAATTCTGACGTGTACCTATAAATTATCGCTTTGTACTTACTCCCTAGTATCCATGCAAGATTAAACGATCTTCGGGATACGTTCTTCGTTACCACCCTTTCACTCGCTAAATTATGTAGAATAAAAACTTACACCCCGTTATGATAATCAAATGTTAAAGTAACTTGTCCCTTTAATTAAGATTTAAAGCCCACTAACAAAATGCGGCGAAGAAGATAAATTTGGATTATAAAACACGTTTGAATTTTAATTATTCCCAAACTTCAGCACGCGGCTCATGGACCAATTAAATCTTTCTCTCGAAATTGTCATTATATAATTATAGATACATGTTTGCGTAAAGAGATCCTAACAAAAGTGGGGACCCTTCGTTTGAATTAAATATCTATTTATTAAGGCGAAGCTACTGATCACCCGTGATTAAAGCAATGGCATTCGCAGCTTTGCAGAAGTAATAAAGTAGAAAGGCAATTATTTTCAGCGTACGACGAAGGAATTTAGCAAGATTAATAACTGAATAGGAACGGCAGCATTTGGTGCCCAATAAATTTTAATAGCAAAACTTCGGTATCAACGAAAATATTATATTAGATTTTGCTTCGAGCGACTTAAAAGTTTTTGCAATAAGAATTGCGACTATGAATGAGATGAGTAAAACGAAAACACACTTACGTTATAATTAAAGTGAACAAAAACCAAAGGCACATTAAGGAAGGCCAGTGATGAAGCCTAAATTGAAACTTATCCGAAATTCCTAGGCACACTTTTTTGAGCACACTGGTTTGTAGGGCACCTCTAATCTTCTCAGTGTCGGTAATTTGCAAAAATGCACTTCTCATGGCACTCAAAGAAACAGTTGTTGTCATTGTTACCGCGATGAGTATTTGCTGTATTGAAGTACAATATTTGAAATGTAACATCCAAACCAACTTTTCTAGTACCTTCATGATTGGTTACATCGATTAAATAGCATCGATTGAATAATTAAGGTTCGTGAGAATATAGGTCTATCGAGAGTATTCATAATGTCAGTAAATTACCAGGTACAGAGTACATCAAAATTCTCTCGCATGCTCTCGCTAACAAGAACGAGGTCAGTTAAAAAATTGCGTACCTAAAACCTAAATGTAAAAATGAGTGTGCCTTCTGCGATCTATTATTAATGAGTACCTACTCGTACAAACATTGGATTCGTAAAACCAATTTCAAGAACAAATATCAATGCGAATGTGTTTAACGGCCTTTGGCGTTCTTTGCGTATTTCGGCGTTGGTCCATTACGGGCGGTTTATATTATTTATCGAATTTGTTATGCATGTTTAATAGTAATCAATATTTATGTTATACAATTTTAATGTGTATTCACTCGGGATCAATTCCGTAATGACTGTTATTAATTTCAATGGAATAAGAAAACGTTCATAAAGATCGCCAACTCAGAACTCATACTTATTTTAGAGCCGATAAAAGGGTAGTATATCGACGAGGACGTAATGTTATGTCAAATGAACTTCTTTTTACAGCGATCTCATTGATCACATAATTTACTTTATTGTTGTTACTGACAGAAGACATGATATAGGTAATTAGAAGGCTTGTGTACCTGAGTAAACACCTATTTTACAGTCTTTCACGCCCTGCCTAGTTCTTCTAAAGGAAATGTAATAAAACCCATAAAGAGTGTTTAGAAAAGCGGCAGAGCACCTCGGTGTGACCCCACGGAGTCATTGGATTTGACCCATTTTCAATAGACTTGTTACATGTGGCATATAGGCCAACTGTGCAGTTTGAACTGAATCGGTCCAAGCGTTTGACAGTTATCGTGTTCACGGACAGACGGACCGACTGACACCATCGACTCCCTTATAAAGCTTACATCACTTTGCTCTGCCGCTTAATAATGGTAAAATTGTATATAATATTAGGTATATTACATTTCAAACCATACGATACTGAACAGCAAATAATTTCAATTGACGACATCTTAAAAATTACCACAGTAAAACAAATTAGATAAAGTCCTAGCTAATCCTTTACAGCAAAAAGAGGTCCGTGAAGTTAGAAGTACCACATAAAGATATATTCAATCATTCGACACCCTATAATTTTATGCTAATTTTGTTCCAATGTTTGCCATATATAATGCCAATTTTGTGCTCAAGCCCTAGGTAGACTATCGTCAAATTCAAAATATTAGAATGGCATAATTTATTGCTTATTTTGTGCCAATGTTTGCCGTATAATGCAGATTTTGTGCTCAAGCCCTAACGGAGATATTCAAAATTTTTCTCTGTACTAACAAATTCATGTTGTTCGAAGAGAACAATGTAAATGCATGTAATTTAAGAACTGTTTTGAGTCACATTTCTCACACTATGAGATCCTCCTGACACATTGACGTGTATACTGGTTTTTATTTTTCTCAGAGCAAGTTTCTTTGTTTGTGATGCACATTGCAAATCTTTACTGCTCAAAACAATAACTTGTTTAGTGCAGTGTCCAGATTAATAGCATTTTTTTGATTTTTTTATGTCGTTCTTAAATTCCTTTCACTATTGAAACTTGGATCTCGCTTTTACTTTAGTGGTAGTTTGTAATGTCCGTGAAGTTAGCCCCTCAAATTCCGAATTTATATTCAATTTGTCGCTTACTAATTAGTAAGTTATTAGTAAGTATTTGTAATAAGCTAAGAATCTAAATTTGTAAATGAATTTGAAAAAAATCCAATTTTGCGGCTAAATTCTCGGCAGCCCCATTATCTTCAAATATCAAAGCTTAGTACCGTCATTAATTAGTAAGTCATTTGTAAGAATAAACAAACGGCATGTCTTAAATTTAAAAAAAAAACATTGTGCGGCTAACTTCTCGGGAGCCGCACCACTTTGAAGAACAATATTTTTGCTTTAACCAATATTTAGTAAGTGATTTGTAACAATTTTTAATCATCATCTCAAAATTAATTAGTCACTTTATTAGAACTTACAGTCCAAAATACGTTCTGGGGGTTAATTTCACGAATGTCCCAGAACATACAGAAAAGGTTGAAATTGTTTGCATCTTTAAGTAGTAATTAGTAAGTCGTACGTGTTAATTTGTAAGCATTATCTCATTTTTTGTAACCCAATCACAATGGCGCAAACTTAAATTTAAGTATGTGCTTAAAATACGACATGCTCACAGCTTTACGAATTACTTGAAGTAGTATGTCATTAGAAAGTATCAGAAAGTATTAATGAAGTAATAACTGACTTTGCAAGTGAATTTCCCAATTCTGGGGCACTACATCTACATTGGAATATAAACATTTTGGTTACATTGATAATTAGTGTGAAAGAAATGGTTAAATTTGTTTGTAATTTTAAACAGGAATTAGTAAGTCGTATGTACTTACTAATTTGTAAGTTACTTTATTACTTCCTAGAGTCCAAAATGCTGTTTTCCCAATTTATGTAAAAATAAAGTTGTTGCAAGTTTTCAAGCTATACCTATACATTGAAGTCCATATACATATTTTTGATATGTAGTAAATTAGAATTCTGTTATTGGATGAAAAGATATACATAGATCAAAATATTTTTAATTTATAATGTGTGTACCTAATACATAATTAAGTAGTAGTAGGTACATAGTGAATACGTAATAGTAATGTAATAGGTGATGGTTACAGAATAAATACTTATAAAAATATATACAGGGTGACTTTTTACCGATGTTTAGTATGGGGATATAAAGTCGCAAAGAATTTCAGAATTTTATGTAGAATTTTCCCTTTCAGAGTTTCTTGTAGCGCTACAAATAACGAAGTTATGGCCAAAAACCAAACAAGGTCCGTTCGAAATTGCGCTGGGGTTCATTTATTTTCAAACAGATAATCAGATAAAAGCGGTTCCACCCCTCCCCCAAACCCCCTGATAAGAGGGCAAAAATAAGGGCGGTAGTTGGTAGAAAACAGTTCCTTTCGTTGAGACCAAAGAAAGAGTCGCACGGGAAAGTTATTGTTTTTACAAACCAATTTATTTCGATGAGCCCTTTCATTAGAATACCATGAAGGGTAGAACATGTGTTAACCCCCCCCCCCCTTTTTCTAAAGTTTAACTTGGCACCACTAAGGCATGCGTATGCAAAATCTTAAACCACTGCCAAGTGTTACGTTTTAATTAAAAAAATCAAAGAAAACTTGGGAAGCATGTTTTAATATACTCGTATTTGCCCTCAAATTACGCCGCCAAACCAACTTCTGCCTCTTGGTTCCATAGTTAACGTTTATAGGAGACGAGTCCCCACTTCCGCAGTTAAGCCCTTCAGTTGTGTAACATCCAGAATGATACTCGCAATTCGCATATTATTGCTCCAGGCCATCGAAATGTGGAATGTGTGGGCAGTGTAGTAAAAATACGGCAAAAAGAACGACTTTTTCACTGTTCTTGGACCTAGTTTTGGACTTTCCAGGCACCATCTTGATATTTAGGTCCCAGGCATATGGCGCTGCTGGAGATCCCCACATACTTAAATGTTAACTTGACCATATGAATACATATTGGACGCCGACAACCGGCCAGAAAGAAAAAAATGACGAATTTTTGCATTTTTGACGTTTTTAAGCGGAGTTTTGGCATTTAGGCCCTTATTATGAATACGAAAGTGTGGCTAAACGGTGTCGTAGTGTGTACTAGATAGGTATGTTATTCTACCCTTAAACTACCCAAAACGTTCAGTGGCTGCGGGCTGCCTTATTGTGGTATCGAAATAACCGAAAAACGGCAATTTTGGCCGCCATCTTGGATTTAAGGGCTTAAATGCCAAATTCGGGTCTGGCAACAGGGCGCATCGTTTTCAGCGGGGGCAAATTAGTATAGAACCGCCTGATGCCAGTTTGTAGCACAAAACGCCGTTAGACATGATTTAGAGAGCCTTTTTGAGAAATGTCTCCCTGACATTAAAGTCTGTGAAAGAGATTTTCCACACAACCAAGTATCGTATACCGGGTAGTTCACGGTAAGTAGGAACATAGGGATTTAAGATGGGGAATTAGTTTTATGCAATATCCTGCCCTCCTGTACATTTTACAGAAAAAAACTGTAGAGTTTAAAGTTGTTCAGAATTAAAAGGTGCATACAAAACTGTTTTTACATGTTTTATTAAACTTTTGGTATACCCGCAAATTAAAAAATAAATTTCAACATTTCTGTTATTAGTAGCAATAGCCATGGCTTTTGTTGTTTTATGAATTGCTAATTTGCTACTAATAACAGAAATGTTGAAATTTATTTTTTAAATTTGCGGGTATACGAAAAGTTTAATAAAACATCTAAAAACAGTTTTGTATGCACCTTTTAATTCTGAACAACTTTAAACTCTACAGTTTTTTCTGTAAAATGTACAGGAGGGCAGGATATTTCGTAAAACTAATTTCCCATATTAAATCCCTATGTTCCTACTTACCGTGCACCACCCGGTATAAAAAATTGAAGGTGAACTTTTTCAAACTAGTAAATGTTCGTGCTAGTTACTTTTCTAAATTATTAAATTTGTATACTGACCGATGTAAACAACCGCCGAATTCAACAACCCCTCAATCAGCGTGGTTCCCGGTGAGCGTGGTTCATTGAAAGGAATCGAACTCCGAAGGTCCGTCACATTTATTTTGTTTGTAAAAGTAAAATCTACTTCCCCCGCAGTGGAAATTCTCATATTATCAATATTTAACAAAGAATGGCCATTCCCTTGCATATTAGAATTCATTAAACAGATCTGTACTAGGTAGGGTTTTTCAGGTAAGTGTCTATTCATAAAAATTTATTGTAAGTCAAGAAATGCATTTCTTAGTGTCCATTTAATGTCCGTGTTTTTACATATTTTATTTTAAT